AAATTCTCCACAAGTCCTGCTTTTTCAGTCTAAGGCAAAACATACTAAAAGAGGACACATTCGATCCAATTCTTCTTCCTCTTTGCAAAATTTTGAGAAGAATGGGACGATTTGTTAGCTTTCTCGAAATTAAAGAAGTCTATGCAACCAGTAACGATTTACTAAATAAACTTAGCTGGGGAGGTTTTTTGTGCCTGAATTTTGATTTGGAACTAAACAAAGTCTAAACTCAGAGCCTTAGGTAGCATTAAACGACGAATATCCTTTTCGAGTGCTCATCAATGTTTTACTCATATGTCAAAGCAGTATCAATCATGAATATAACGGGCAGCAAATAAAGGGTAAATGCACGATCGTATCGACTGCAAACTAATCATGAGTGATGAGGTTCCCACAGGATCAGATGACTGCTTACGGTGAAGATGTGGATAGTACAATAAGTCTGACTTGCTACTACAGGAGAGAAACAAACAGTTCGAATTTCAACAAACCAGTCACCTTCAATGCTCTAACTGCTCTAACCTTCAGTCACTCTGTGATCTTTTACTCATAACGTGTTAGAGTTGGCGAAAAACTTTTGAGAGTTGGTACAGAGAATGTTGTCTGTTATGTCACCTATAGAACACCAAAATACCATAATACCATCATAATACCATCAAACCATGATAGCATCATAACTACCATAATACCATCATGAGAGAGGTCTTCCAACAAACTCATAAAACTAACGGTAAAATAAATCGAGAACTATTGATTACTGACGCAGTTGGTAAATAGTCGTAAGGTGCGACTTTCGGCGACCGTAAAAGTCTTCGCCGTGTGGAAAAAGCAGCATCACGAGCTACGGTGGTGACATACTTTGCAATCAACCCATTTGCAACCCACATTCAAAATTTGAGGCATCTCTCATATCAAGTGATTCAGAATGAGCTCATATATTTATGGGAAAGACTCAGTTGTTGATAGATAGATCAAATTGTACTTAGGTCACGAATTTGTTAGAAACAAAACCGCTCACTACTGTATTCATCAAGGTGAGTTGAAGAACGTTCAACAGCATCTGATCGAATGCTATTTCAAGACGTTTTTTGTCCCAGGTATGAATTCGTCAAACATAAAATATCCACGTGAGCACTCTCGCAATCGCACTTCCAATAATACATTCTTCCGACGCTTCTCTAACATTTAAATATAAATGCTATACCATACGGCGACACTTTCTGACTGTAGTTCATGATTTATTAACATTGGGGCTTCATCCTTATTCTTTCAATATATCAAACACTTAATCTGTCGAGCAATTGAAGGATGGCACTGAAGAACAAGAAGACAAAGAAATCTGGGAGCAGTACAATGAGAATGACTGCCAAAAGCGCTCAAATATTTCTTGCACCTCGTAATACTCATGAAATTGAAGAATTTGCAAGAAAGTCTGGAATGTCAGTTGGTTTTATTTCGTTTGGTAGCACAGATTTTCAAGCCTTTCCCTATTCTCGACGGGAAGTTTTCATAGAGAGCGTTAGTAATTATTCGAAAGCGCAAATCTCGAGCTAACCGCATTCGCAGCCGGTTTTTTGAAAAGATCCATTTCAAACGCTGAAAAATATTCGGAGCAGATTATGCTACTCCCACGTGTATTCTCCTAGGACAAAGCTCTTCAAGCTATTAGTAATCCTTCAATGGCGTAAAATTTACCGATTCCAGCGCTGTGCTTAAACTCTAAGAAAACTCTTTCTTTGCAATGCAGCTGCAATGCAGCGAGAAAAATAAGAATCATTCACGCACGCGAGCAAGTGGTTTTGGCCACTTCAGGGGCCGCTGGGTGATGCGGAAATTGGGCTGACGTGATGATCGATAGATTTTCGCGCATACGAACGTGTATAAAAGATCTAATAGTATCTGAATGTCATCGACTCATTGTTGGAAGCAATTAGGACGTTTTGGCCTCTTGAATTCCACCAAGGTGATCATGATAATGATTGAATTATCAGTATCCATGTAATAAACGTATTCGAAGTCTTTTGTAGCAGAGTCATGCGTTTTATCTAGAGTTTTATTTCAAAGCGGTGGAACGATTCCTATTTGAATAACAAAGGTTGCACTTTCATAAGACCGGTTGAGAAGCGACTGTAGGTCGCGCCGACCACCCTCGTCGCCTGACCCTGCGACCCGTGAATTTCACAAAGACCACCTCTCGCTCATGTGAATTTGATCTCATTTGCTCTGCTATACTGCAGAGAAATGGTTATTCACAAAATGAACACAGCGTTGGAATAATAAATATTTACGCTATCGAATGATTACTTATAGTCTAAAAACAGAGCTCTAGACGGCGAGAATTATGCGCGTGTGAAACATAATATTTTTCAGCGTTATAGGACCTTTCGAAACCGGCTACGTATGAGAATAGTCCGAGATTTGAGGTTTTAAAAAATTCTCAACGACTCTTATGAAAACTTCTTGTCGAGCGTAGAGATGAGTTTGAAAATCTGTATTGCCAAAAGAAGGTGGAACTTGTCAGATTAATGTTGACATGCATGCAAATGTGAGTAAAGCGAGCAGAAGTAGTAAACTGATTGGCAAAGTATGTATGACAGTCAATACGCTGTTGGAGGAGCAATACCACGATAACACTGAGAACCGAAAGCTTACCCTATCCTGTAATTTAAACTCCAAAAGTTGATCACCTACTTGGAGTCTTCGGAGTCGATGTACTTCTTCCACTGCTCCCTAGCCTTTATTAGACACATAGCCGTGCTTTTCAGGTCCTTGATATCATGAATCCTCTTCAGACACAGTTTAAACCGCTCACGTGATGCTGAAAATTTTTTTGTTATCACATTCTGAACCGTCACTCTGTGCAGTACAACGTCAATTATCATTGAATCACAATATGTTTGAAAAATCTAAAGCAGCGCCAACAATATTAGCATACGATCGTAATATTAAGGGGTGGATAGCGGAGCGTTTAGTGTTGCAGACTATCAATATCAAATCTCCTAGTTTTATACACTCCTTCTACTCCTTCTTCACCTCCTCCTCCTCTCCCTCTTTAGTCAAGTAAAGAACGCCTTGTTTAGTTTCCTCAGATTGCAAGCAGAGTGATCTGTCTAGCGTTCTATGACTCATGAAGAAAGCGAAATCCTCAAGCACCAGTCGAAGCAATAGGTGAAATGTTTAATCATTTCTGATAGGGACAAATTCGAGGAAGCAAATTGAATGCAAAAAGTGGTGAGATTTGCACAGCGGATGCGATGAGGGTTAATGTAAATTAAGACGAACGCTAGAATTGTCGGATCATCTATCTTTCTCAATAGTCTTTTGGTACTGAATTACATTGTTTTCTGTCGCTCTTTATTTGACAGTACAAAATCACAATCCATAGATCATTTCCAGAATCATCACTCAAATTTGCTAGTGGTTTACATATCTTCATTTCGCGCATTAGTGAAAAAAGCCACTAACGGTGGCTATCAAAAGGCAAAGCTAATACATTGAAAAATCAATGAGATTGTGTTATTGTTTAGGATTGCAAGCCTTTGTAACAGCCAGCTATTCATATCTGTTTACTCTCTGTCGTCTACAAACTATTCATTCGAGTTAAAACGGGACTGGCGAAACACTAAGCGGAGTTCAGTCATGGTAACAAGCAGAATCCCAAAAGAAACTATGTACTAACGACCACATCGACACGATATCATGACTCCCTGGATTAATCTATTAGTATAAGAGACCGCTCTGTCTCAGTCTCAATCGTTTCGAGGAAGAACTCTGATTCAATTCTAACTGAAGCAGTCGAAGAAGCCTGGATCTTTTGAGTGCATAAACATTCCAAAATACCACCTTTCTACAACGGTATCACTCTCTGAGAAGAGGTTCGGCAGGGTGATACAATCTTGCTAAATCTACTGAGTGCTATCCTCCAACATGTCATATGAGCATTAGAGACAAGATGTTAAGAAATTTAATGATTGACAATCACATTACCTTCGCTTTGCTAATAATTGTTCTTATAATACTAAGCATTAACAGAACGGAATAAGTGGTATTCCGGCAGTACCTGCAAAGAAATTGGTCTCTCACTTAACACTGCTGTGGCCGTGGACCCACCTCATCTGCATTTCTAACCCCAGCGTGGGAAGGCATTGAATGTTTTGCCGTATTATTTCAATAGTATTATTGTTGCTATTTTCCTACTTATATAAACACAACATATTATATAACATAACAGGAAAGTCACAACACTAATACAATTAATTCAGTTCAAAAATACACATCAATGCGTTACCGCACCGCGGATTAGAGAAGCAGAGGAAAAGGGTTCATGGTTCCAAAAGATTTGATTCTAAGAAAGTGGTGCTCATGGAGAACAAGTTAATTCGAATATGCCATTCACGCTCAGCAGAATGGATATTCCCGAGTGCTCCATCTCCAGCAGGTAGTCAACATGATGATTAAACTGACTACACAGTTTAGCAAGAGGAAGCGAATTTCTTGGAGAGCGTTCATGAGTATTGGGAATGTGGCGAAGAGAGCAGAGGACACCCAACTCCGCCTTCACCTTTTCGGCCCAACGATTATCACTCTTTTAGCGCATGAATTGAGTGCCTGGTCGTTACGCAGACATGATGTAAGATCACATGGCGCTATTGAACGTGCAATCGAAATGGTGATGCCAGAAGAATTACTCATCTCGCAAATGAGCAAAAGACTAAAAGTTCGACCAACCTCAGCAATCGAAAATCATAGACGCCCTTCGTTACACCATCCAGTTGAGATGTATATGGGTTTAGGAGCATCATAAGCTTTATAATGCTGAGTGATGTGCAAAACTTTGACATCAGACGGGAAACGAACTCGTATTTTACCCTTTCGCGGTGAGTGCTAACCAACTACACTACCAACGCCTCTTGACCACCACTTTTTCTACGCTACAATGCATCAATCTGTCAGCAATCATGTGCCAACGGTTTCCATATCGGCAATAGCCCCACTTTATAGGCGTTAGTGCAATTGGTTAGCACGCGTCCCTGCAATGGGTAAAATGCGAGTTCGATTCTCGTCTAACGTCGAAGTTTTGCACACGACTCAACATTATTTTCCCATTTTTAACATCACACCACCGGTAAAAATGACGGTTAGATGGAAAAAATTTTTTGTTATTAATACATATTTGAGCGCATGTGGCGCAGTGGTTAGAGGTGCCCTGCGTTGCACACGAGGTCACTGGTTCGATCTCGCGCTCATGGCTCACCAAGTTATCCATCCCTCCGGGGTCGGTAAATTGGTACCAGACAGGTCTCAGACTTGTCTAGGACGATAAGCAGAATCGACTCGGTTCAGCGGGAGGCCACCGCGAGTCATTATAAAGGCCAGATGTGCATTCAGTCACCTCAAGCGAAGTTAAAAATTGAAGTCGGATGCATGGCGCATCCCTCAGGGATTGACTAACACCGAGAGCTTTATCCTTTATCCTTTAATACATATTTGATGTCTGTCAGTGTAACTGGGATGCCGATATGACTTGCCAGGCCAAACCATTGACGGTTGGTTGCTGAAGGATTGATGTGTTGTAGCGCAGAAAAAGTGATGGCGATACAGGCGTCTGTAGTGCAATTGGTGTGCACGCGCTTCAAGAAAATATGAAAGCGGGTTCAATTTCCGTGTGACGACAACGTTTTGCATATCATTCAACATTATATGGTACATTTAACATCATACCAGCTCTACAAAAGCTGCTGTGTAGAAAGAATTCTTGACTGAAAACAATCTATGGCCAGAAGCTGTTATGTTCGTTATTAGGCAAAGGACAATGTGCTGGGTGACAGGTCGGTCGTCAACTTGCAATTTCCTGACTGACTACGGACATGCGAACTTTTTTGGTGATCGTTTTCTTATTGACGGATTGCTGTGTGATTTTGCAGTTTCCAACACGTTTGAATTTGTTTGGGATGCCGAACGAGCCACAAAAGACGACGATCGACCCGACCAAGGTTGTTCACGAAAAGTCGACCACATGTAAAATATGATGCCCATTTGCAATTTTAGTTGTTAACCAATTGAAATCTACAACAATGCGGAGAGGTTTTGACTGATACCTATGACACTACAAATGGTTTGCCTTGTCAAAGCTACATTTCTTTAGCTGAAGAAAGAAGAGCTGAAATTACTTCAGAACAAGACCTACCGCTATCAATTTTTGGAGAAGCTCTTTAGCCATTTGTGACATGATTGCTTTCAGTGAGAAAAGGTACCAGTTTAGATGAAGGTTTGTGACTTTCTTGTAATCATCCTCACTCAGCGCCATTTCTTCCAGCTGTTGTGTTAAGCTCTTGTGCTGCAGATCATCACGAGTCTTGAAAAATTATTGATAAGAAAAAAAAAACCCAAGGCGGTCTAATTAAGGGTGCAAATGTTGTGAAAGACAGAGGTTACGAGATTGAATTTATGTTTATTCTTCTCAAAAGTGTTCCAGTGAATAATCTTATAACTAAACAGTGTGGTTGCTCTGAAGATTCTCGAAATGAAAACAGTTCTTTCTCGTTAGATGGCAAGAAATTAAAAAACCAAACCCTTTCACTGGGCAAAAATCTCCATAAGACTGCTAGCAATTAGTGGAACTAAATATCTGTGCTACTGCGTTACGTGCTCCTTCTTTGAAAAAGCCTTTTGAAGGTCTGTAGCATTCAGAATAATATCATGCTTCATACGTGCTTTCACCTTTCATTACTGAGCTTGCATTTCGCTAGACAAAACTCTTTGTTTAGATTGCCAGTAATCGTTTGACAGCTCAAACCTCAAAGGATTCAAAATTGCATATGCTTATGTAAAAGGGTGTTCTATAATTGTAGCAATTGGGAAAGTTCTGTGTTTTCACACACTCATATTTCTCGCAGTACAGAACTCCTCTCTTGAATTATACATAACCATTCGGTAGCGTTAGCTTTGATGATTCCAGTGCCGCGTTTGTTTTCAGAAAGGCCTTTTCACTGCAATGTAACAGTGAAAATAAAATTGAGTTTTACATGAGCTGCGCATTTGCTTGTAAGCTGTGTGTGGACCAGGCGTGTACTGGCCATGGGCCGACATTGATCGCTCTAACGCGGCTCACATATGGAATGCGATCGTTGTTGTTATATTTAGGATTTTTCTCTGCTTGAAAAAAGCTTCAGATAAAAGTATGGCTCTGATACTCAAAGAACTCCTCTACACGCTCTTATGCTTTCCGTGCTTTCAACAAATTATATGCTGTCAAAAAATCAAAGCGCAGCGGGTATGAAACATAGCTGAACTTCAAATCCTGAAGCGCTATAAAAATGTTTTTTCAAAAAAACGAACAAATAGCGCAGTAGTTTCAAGGTTCAAGCTCTCGAGATCACTAACTCTCTCATGAAAAGTTCTTGCCCAGCGAGAAGGGCCGTTTCTTCATTCCGCGCCGCCTGGCGAAAAGTACCATAAAAATCTTGCTACTATAAAAGTTCATGTTTCAGATAAAGCTAGGCCCTACAAATACATGGCAGCCATAAGATTTTGAGCTAATAATAACCAGCTGCATTGCCTGTGATGTATGTACGTAGAACAGTATTTTCGAAACGCCCTGCCTAGAATAACCAGAACCGATCTCTTAGCCTCGCCATTGATCAGGTGCTCCACTTGTATTTTGTTGACTCTATGAGGGGCTGTTAACCAGATGATTTATTTGAAAATATCGCATTACAATAACTGGAAGACGCTTTGGCTGTTTCGTCTTTTCCACAGCCCAGACGTGTCAAGATGACTTTCATTCTACTTACTCAAGCATTATAATAACTTGAGCAGATGAACCGTGAGCAAGAAATCTTGATCTACCTTGTTTTCAGTTATGAAAGCTCTTTGTTTGAATAGATTGTGAGTAAAGTCAGCCTTTTTGAGATGTGAAGAACCGCCGAAGCCTGCGAAACGCCGGTCATTACTCTAGCATATTTCATTTAGTGAAACTTATTGTTAACAAGTTTGTGCGCTCACTAAATAGACATGAACTGTTTTCCCGCGTAAAAAGACCGTATCGCTGGTTCAGCCCCCAGTATCGCTGGTTCAAGCCCTGACCTACGTCAACCAATCCTCCGATGTCCTCACGTACCAGCAAATTTTTCTGACCTTCTTGTAAGCATTTTCATCTAGCCTAGAGGTATACACCCATCCATGATAGAAATTGAGGAATGTATAAAAAGAGCTATTCCAGTACATCACGAAAATTCTCTTCGATTGCAGGCAACAATTTATAAAGGAGAGCATAATTCTGAATAAGCAGCCAAATTATCGCACTTTTTTAATTGGTGACCGCGGAAAAAATTGGGTTGTAGGGGACAGAATGAACAACCAAGATATGCTCAGTGTTCAAAATCGAACTGTTATTCTAAATTCGCTGGTAATGGAGATATTAATTCAGTCTCACTCTTCTTCACAGCAAACCCCAGAAATCTGTCTAATTTGCAGTACCTTGCCGTAAGCGTAGTCTTTTGTGGTGTTCGACCAATGACGTAAGTCCAAATCCGTATCGATCTCATTTGTTGAGTATAGATCTTCAACTCATATCTGTTGGCTAACATAGTCCATACATTTGGTATGCTTAGATACTCTCCAAAGTTTCGTAATGTAGGAACCAAAGAAGTGAATTTTAAAAAAATTTTGGGCTTCTTTCAGTTCTTCGTCCTTCGCACTAAGTTATTGTATGCTTAGGCATGACTCTTTTTCTGTAATGAAACAACCGGTAAATTTCTGAATCACTACAGAACGCCATTTGTGGCCACGTTCTCATCCACACAACACATCGCCGCATCTTCTCACAAGCATTGCCATCCATGAATGCGTGTAGCGTAGTAGTTAGGGTATCACTGAGTATATACGCAAAGTCGTTCGTCTAATTAAAAATCTCTTTTCATCAACGTTTTTGATTTCTGTGTTGACGAAAAGTCGCCTCGAAGTTCCTTCAGAAAAAAAAACATATTGATGTGGAGCATCGGCATATCTTTTTGCTTTACGCCGTCAAAGCGCGACATCTGTGCCACCAGAAAATTTTTCAGGTCGCATCGAAACGATGATTTAGCAAAATTTCGAGCAAAGTCTTCCATGGCTAAACAACTACTTTTGAAACATTGATCACAATGTCAGAGCATCTTTGATTAGGAATATTAAAGATTTGAAGTAAAATAAAGCCTCAATCAAAAATTGAGCTCAACCTTACCGTGATCGCAGCGAGAACTCGAAGCGTCAAGAAAGCAAAGATACCGTAAATTGCCTTCATTGTAGAAGAATTCAATAGAACATATCCGAGATCAAATCGTGGGACTTACTTGGAACACCGCTAAAAGTAGTTTGTGTAAATAATACAGCAACAACAATGCATCAATTTGATTGATAATTTGGTGATGACATGAAAATGCATTGAAAAATTGTACTGGAAATGGTATTGCATTGTACTTCATTACAAAGCTTTCCTAAGGAAGATCATCATGAGATTGTAAGTCTGAAGTACAAGTCGGTTAGTACCGCCGAAATAAAGTCACTAGAAACAATCTGATGATTTTTTGAAACATAAAATAACCTCATTACGATTAGAGAAGATTTCACTTATATTTCTCTTTGAGCTGAGATGGCTCTTCTGTGGATTCTGCTCAATGTAGCGCATATACTAAGATACTGATAGAAGGCTGGAATCGCAGCTGAGTCATAAACGAAACTGAGCTTACTGAAACTGCCGAGAACGCCCACGGAGTTAAAATAGCGCATAAAACCTCGGAAAGTGATTTAATCCACTTGAGATTTTGATTTTTGTACTTGTCACCTTTGTGGATGTATTTCACCGTACCATGTTGCGGAAATTGAACAAACAATGAATATCAGCTCAAAATATAGTAACTTCGACTACAGATTCAGCTTAGATGGTTTCAATTACAATTTGTGCTCCATTGGTGGAAACCACAGTAAGTTTGCCGTATGACGTGGTAGATAACACAAGCTCCCGTAAGTTCCTATTTATCTGAGATTCCAATTGAGGTCATACTTCAACATCCTTGTAGTGGCACAGCACGTC